TTTTTTTTTTTTGTAGTTTATTTATCTTTTCAGTTAGATGATCTTCAATTAGCTGCTATCGTTCGAAAATATGGTGCAGAATTTGAAGCACGTGATGAAGATGGTCGTACACCATTAATGATTGCTGTTTGGTCATCTAATTATAAAATTTGTCAGTATATGTTAGAAACTATTGGTGTAGCACCAAATGTTATCGATTATCAGGTTTAAAATTAATTATTAAATTTTTTTGGGTTAAGAAAAAATATATGACAAAAATTTCTCATACATATTTATTAATTGATAAAAGTTTTGTTTGGGGAGTTTTTTTTTTTTTGATTATGATAAATTGTTGATAAATTCTACAATTTTTTTTTTTCATTTTTACAAATTTTATACTTTAGGGTGCAACAGCATTAAATATAGCAGCAAATAATGGACAACGTGATATTGTTATGCTACTGCTAAAATTTGGTGCTGAACCATCAATATGTGATAATTTAGGTCGTTGTGCATCAGATGTCGCACAACTTGCAGGACATGAACATATCAGGTTATCATAAAGTTTTATTATACTTTTCATAAATTAAATTAAATCACATATTTAGGAAAATGTTAAAGTGAAAAAAAAAAAATTCCCTCACCTCTCTTAACAATACTTTATAAATATAATTTAACGTTGCAAAAAAAAAAAAAATTTCGAAATAAAATATCAATTTTGAAATGTTAAATTTAGTGTGCAGTTTTGCAGTTTTATGGCAAAAAAAAGTGACGAAAAGAGAGAGAGAGAGAGAGAGAGAAAGAGAGGGAGAGAAAAAAAAGAATATGAGTTATTAGTTTGTCTGTTATCCACCTTTAGGAAAATGTTGGATAATTGCTGTGATATGTATTCTTTCACTTCTTCCATTCATCAACAAATTGATCATGTATTGATTTATCATCATCATCATCATCATCATCATCATCATCATCATCATCATCATCATCATCATCGATGGTCAAATTTTAAACCATTACCCTGATCGATATGTGTATGCAGCAATTTTTGTGTACATCAACAACAACTACAGGCAAATCCTGAAAAGTGCTAGCGGTTCAGCGGATAGTTCCGGATTTGGTTCATTACCAAGCAGTCCAACGCAACAATCAAAAGCTAAATTTTTTTTGCAACAACGAAATATGGGATCGTTGAAATCAAGCAATAATTCGCATGGTATTACAACAAAAAGTAATACCTTACAAATTACTCATTAAAAAGAAGTAATGATTCTAATTCTATGTACCTGTGATTTATATTAGATTTTAATTTTCTTATATTTATCATAAATTATTGATTACAACGATAACAATTATTTTATGCTTCTATCCTCATCTACGGTTTAATTCTTTTAAGGATTATTTGCTTCTTTATTCACTGGTGATAGGGAGTGATATGATACTGATAACATTATCAATTCATACAATTTATAAGTAATTATAAAATTTGCTTTGAAGAGGAAAAAAAACCATTTAATTATAATGTATGAGTGCAATATGATAGTCTTTAGCCTAAGTTTGACATAAATATTTTCATTTAAAAGGTCACAGATCAACATCTTTACTACTACTAGTTCAGTATTATTTTATTAAATTTTCACTTTCATTTTATAATGAAATTTTATTTTCATAAAGAATTTATAATTTTGTCGAAATGATCTCACTTTTTTGTTCATCCTGTGCCATTTTGTTTGAAAAATGTTATTTTATTATAGTTATTAACTCTTTCTCGAATTTATTTTATCCGGTAATTTCAGAATGATTAGCCGATTAAATTGGAATAATCATTGAATTTTCAGGTTTTAACTTCCTATCCCTTTTTCATATCGTTAACATTCGACCGATCAATTTTGTCATATTTTCTTGCACCGAAAGCACTGCATTTGCATATTTGTACTTTATTATTTATCTAAATGCCTTATTTAATTTTATATTTCTTCCGGTGTATCATTTGTTAATAAAGCTTTTTTCAAATTATCCGAAATATTTGTATGAATAAGCCTTTTTCATCACTGTAGAATAGACTGTAAGCATTCATTCTCACTTTAACTTTTGACCTTTTTAAGCCGTCACTTTAATTGACGACTTTTAACTTTTTAATTCTGGCTCTTAATCTTTAATTGTTTCTCCTGATTTAATGACTTTTAATTTCTTAATTATAATCCGATGACCGTATTGTTATGTTTTTCTTTTATTCTGATATATTTTTAGCCTGAATTTTAGTGTTTGTTATTAAATCATCATTACAAAAAGAGTAATATAGTATCCATTGACAAATTGAAAGAGTTAAAAGTCAACGTGAGGATAAACGCTTATAATACACATTGTTTAAATTAATTAATAATATAGTAGACCATGTTTCTAATTAATGTATAGTAAAAGTAAGAGAGAGAGAGAGAGAGAGAGAGAGGAGGGAAGGGAGAAAGGATATTTTGCTTTGAAATTTGACGATGAAAAAATAAATCAATGACTATTTAGGCATTCCTTGTTAGGCTGATATAAACTGTATAAAATATATCAGGAAAAAGGTGTGATAATGATTATATTGATTATATTAATCGGAACTCCTGTTCGCTATTGCCGGATATCCCATCTATCCATGAATAATCATATCAGGCCATCTATCCATGAATAATCATATTAGGCCATTTATCTATGAATAACCGTATCAGGCTATTTGGCCTGATATAATATTCGTGAATATTTTGTGGTATCAGAATGGCCTGAATTCATTTTTTACAATCTTTTCCTATTCTTAGCATTAATATGAGGAGAGAATATACTGTTTTATTATTGCATCTGATATTTAGTGATATTTCCAAATTTCAATTTTATTTTGCTAAAATTTTTTCCTCTATTAGTAAAATTGGAAATACATTGGGATGTTTTAGGGTAAGCAGTTTCCAATTGATGGAAAAGTAATAAAAAACACGGGTTATTTTCTAGTCACTGTTCAAATTTTCTTTTATTTCTCCTATTCTAACCATTTGACAGTTAAAAATTTGAATTACAAATTTTATTTAATGGAATTTTCATTTTGTTCCTCTAATTTTTATTATTTGCTAATTAAAATATAAATTATGAATTCAATATTTTAAAGTGCAACAAATTAGATTTTTTTCTGCTTTGATCAGGGCTAATATATTGATTTTTTGTTCAGTTATTCGGAAGAAATTAAAAACATCGCAAAAAAAAAACTCTTTAAAATTAAATCGAACAAATCATTTAGAAAAGGAAAACGAATATGTTGAGGAGGAGGAAGTGAAAAGTTTTTAATTTCATTTAATTTCTATTTTGGATCCTTTCAGATTTCTTCCTTGCATTCCATGCATACAGTTAATATTTCACATGAGAATTGCATGAACGCAAACGCTATTAAATCTGTAAATTCATTCATCTCAGATAAAAATGATCGAAGGAATGAAAAATAAAATATGGAATTGATTTGATAGTAGTTTGAAATAATAATTATGTTTAATGAATATGAAGCAGTAGAAAGCTTAAATTGCATTTCAATCAATCACTTCTCACATCGATGCAAAAATGATGTCATTTCAGTTTTAAATTTAATGATTTTTTTTTTCCACTCAAAATATTTCATGCTATACGAGTGGACACTAACTAAATACTTAATTCATTTTCTGGCCTATTTCCCTTGTGGTTTCATTTTTTGATACTTTAGCTGACTCAGTATTTCTTCTCGCTTATTTCCCAAAAGACAATTTTTGTTTACTTCTCAGTTATTTTTCGCTACTTTTTTTTTCTCCCTCTCTCTCTCTCTTCCATTAAACTTCGAGTTATTTCATCCTTGCTAGTTAAAAGTATTGTTATTCAATTTTATTCTTTTCTTTTTTTGATGTTTCAGTATTTGAATTTTAATGCTTCTTCCTAACCAGCTATTATTCATTTGAACAATTATAATTGAATTTTGCTGGAAAAAAAAGGGGATAAAATGAAAAATACTTACATTTGCGACAGAATAATGCAATAATTAGCTGAAATTAGTAAAAAAAAAAATTCAATTATTGAACTTTATTAATAAAATTGAAATTGTTATATTTATTTCATTATTGGTAATGGTAAAATATTTGTAAAATATTTGATAGTAAAATACAATTCCAATTGTAAAGCACAAACAGTAAATGAAAACACATACAAAAATGAGCACATTGTTAGTATGGTAGCTTTTTTTTACCAATTATCAGAAGGGATATTTTTAATAAATTATTTCAATTTTTGAACTATTTTACAATCCTTTCTAATAACAAATCATTTGAAGGTTAAAAATTTATTTCAGTTAATTTATTTTAACAAATGAACAAAATTATTATTACTAAAATGCCATTAAATTTTAATCATAACTTAATTGCCGATAATGACATTTTACAGAATTCAAAAAAAAAAAACGGAAGAGGTGCAAATTAGGAGTGTAAATGAATCCGAAATAGAAGTTGAATATATACTAACTCATAACTTCATGGAATGTTTAAATTATTAAATCATTTTATCTCTTTTTCTTCTACCACCAAAAAGAAAAATCAAATGGATTTTAATTGAGCTAAATGTTTTAGGTTAGTCAATGAAATTTTTTTCTTCTGCTTGGATATTATTAACATTAATTATCACAATTTTTGATAATTAAATATAAATAAATTAATTAATTATCACAATTTTTCTATTTTCAAGTCCTATTCAATAATCTTTCAGAGTTTTTTCTTGAATCTTAAATGATATTACCAAAAAATCCAAAAAAAGAGGAAATTAGAAATGAAATTAAAATAATCATTTATTGCTATGATTTTTTAAAGTCGAAATTTAAAATACGTATTAGCGTTTTTTTGAATTGTTGATTAGCCATAGCATAGCAAAATGGATTAATTGGACTATTCATATAGCATAAAAAATAGCTAATGGAATAGAAGAAATTGAATATTTTTGAATTCTTACACGAATCACAAAATCCCATCACCGTTGCTAATACATAAAATGGTGTCCAAAGAATTGTAAATGTTCCGAGAATAAATGTTATTGTACGAAATGCCTGAAAAAAAAAAAAGAAATTTACATTCTACATTGAATTTACGTGATTTGAAATTCACGTGATTACGTTGAATCAACTGATTTACATTCTACGTTAAATTTACATGATTGGTTAGTTTCTTTATTCATTTCACAGCATACTCTATCATATAACATTTACATATCATAGAATTTGAAATTTTCTTCATAGATTAAAAATTTTTTGAATAAATCATAAAAATTTAACCTTTCGTGCACGATTCTCAGATTTTGATTTGTATTCATTTTTGCATTGTCTTTTTTTAAACCTTCCCAAACTTCTTTTACGTACAACATTAATTATATTATAAATGCCTTGTAATGAATGTTTTCGTGGTGTGACATGAGCGCTTGATAGCAATGGTCGATGTATTTCTTCTGATTTTGCCAAAATATGTTTTGGTTCTTCGATAATCTTAAATTGAAAAAAGATGAAATATTTTTTTTCGTTTGATAAATGATTATTTTTAGAAGAAATAAAATTAAAGTGATATTGTAAGTAATGTTATTGATGATATGATTAAATGATACAATTTATTCAATATTCAATCTTTGTTTTTTTTTTCACACAAAAAATAAACCTAAATAGGAAGTGGTTGAAAAATAAACCTCAATTCGAGGTGGTATTTCATATACATCATCATGTCCAACTAATGATGTTAAACTATCAATATCGATAAATGGAATACGATGAGTAGCAGTATTAAGTGGTGCTTGTTGTTCTGCATCCGGATCCGAAATTTCCGGTGATACATAAGGTGCAGTACTTTCACGTTCCATAATACTGCTTACTTTTGAGCTCAATTCACTAGGAATAACAATAAATTTTTCATTGATAAAATAATAAATGTCTATTTGATAGAAATAAAAAATTCAAATTTTTATTGTAATTTTATTATATTTATTATAAAGACTCCAATAGGAATTTAATGAATGAATAATGCAATGAGAAAAACTCACAAATGACATATAACTCTTTCTTCATTAGACATAATTTCATCGTTAATGCAATCTACTTGAGCATTCCTCAAATTTGAAATGAACGAAAGCGGCTTTTTTATCGAAAGTTCCCTGCTTTTGTTTGATTCACGCTTCATACTGTAACATTATAATACTGTAATTATATACTCGTACTATCCCTATGCCGTGTTACTGTAATTATACTCTCATATTATCTTCGTGTCACGATATTGTCATATCATTTCTTGTATTATTCTCGCCACATACTGTAAAATCATACCTTTAACTGTATTTGTGCATATCATTGTAACATATCCCTGTCATTTTTTTTGTGCCATTCTACTGTAATATCAAACTACTACACTATCCTTATTATATGATGCACGATACTGTAATACTTATACTGTATCACGATACTGTATCATCGTACTGTATTGGGGCACTTTCATACTATAAGAAACATCATTTAATATTTTAACTTTCAGGATAAAAACAGAACGGATGTAATCTCACACTAACCTTATCTTCAATATTCATTAGCTTAAAGTAAAAATTGCAAAGCCAATGATTACAAAAGCATAATTAACCTTTTCTTTGATACTGAAGGTATTATGGAAGTATTTATTTCAGAGGTAACAGTGGCATTTGTATTTGTAGTTACTATTCCAGCCGAATGAACGATATTGTTATTACTGCTTTGATGAATTAATTGCTTTTTAGGATTTGTTGAAAATTGTTGAGAATTCAATACTGTTGCATTTCTGAAATGATACGTACGTATACATGTACGTCTGTACGTACGTATATGTCTAAATAATTTATCATAAATGAGACAAAAATTAAATTAAAACTAATTTTACTTTTTTAGTGGGACAAGAATTAAAAGTTAAAATTAGTTTCAAATGCGTGAAATATGACAAAATGTCAGAAATCCTCGGAAAAACAATTTTAGGCAATTTTCAGGTGCATTGTACAAATCAAATTCGATAAATATGAATTTTCCGAATTTATAATAATTATGAATATATTGGCATTATGTAAACTCATATGATTGATTGCTAGACCAATAAATCATATGAGTTTGCATGATGCTTATTATTTTTTAGAAAATATATTTTTGGAAATTGAAATATGCCACTAAATAAATAGTGTACTTTATTAAAATGCTTAATATCATCTGAGTAATTTTTAATAATCAAGAATTTTTTCTACAGAAATTACCATTTTCAAATGAGTGAATGGGTTGCAAAAAATAAATTGAAGAAAAAATAAAAAGGAATGGAAGGCAAATGTTTGTGCTTTGCTGATCGATATGAAGAAATGCAAATTTATTTTCTCATAAATAGATCGAAATAAATCATTTAATCAATTGATTTTGTATAAAAAATGTCAAACATTCATTTGAATTTATGTTCGTCGCTTTTGATATTACAGTAAATTATTTACACAAAATGACGGAAACAATATTTTATGTGGGAAAATTTTTTAGCTTTTCTCTCTGCGGAACGTAATTTTTTTTTTCTTTTTGCATAAGTTGGAAGAAAGAAAAAAAAATTTTGTGGAATTTCTTGAGAATATGTCAATTTATGAAAGTTTTGTTGTTTCTTGGATGTTTTCATTCTTTTTTTTTTTTGTTTTTAGAGATGTGAGAGTGAAGAGTATTGTTTAAATTGAAATTTCGAGAAACACTTCACTAACCAAGCAAAATATTGATGTAAAGTATATTCCCTTGAGTTCTTATAATAAGCAAGCTTGATAAAATTGTTGACAGTTTTAGGTGAAAGCAACAATTTTTTTTTATTTTTCCTTCCATATGAGAATGAAAAATTTGCAAATACAACAGGAAATTGATATTATTTGTCTTTTAATACATTCCAACAATTTAGCATTTTATAAGTACACATTTATTGTACGTTTTCACGTATGTAAATAAATGTAAATGTTACTATAATCATAAATGCTATAAATTTTAATAATGTGGTAAAACATTTTTTCAAGAACTTTTTTTAAAAAAAAGAGATAAATAATGCAACTTTTAATTTTCCACTTAACAGTTTTATAAGCCAATATGCTCCCTCATTTTGAAGGCGAGGAAAAAATAAATTCAAAAATTTACTTTCATTTTTCTCCATGATTTTACTTATTCCTTTTTTAAAATTTCATTATCTTCTTTGACTTTTGGCTTTTTTCCTCTTATAAAGTTCATTCAGAAATTTATGCGCATATTTTTAATATACATATATATATATGAATGACGTGTGTCAGTACGTGCATTATGGATGCGTGTATGAGTACATGTGTGAATGCGGTGTGAGTGCATCTGCGGATGCGTGCATGAGTACGTGTACGGGCGTGTGTGTGTGCATTTGCGTATATGTGTTTGCACATTTATTTACTTTTCATAGCGAAATTTTTTTATTATAAGCTAAGAAACCAAGAGAAATAGCATCACTTGAAGATTTCCGCCTTTTTGAACTAAAAATTTCAACTCTGTTTAATGACATGGTGAGCGTTACTTTTTGTAAATGTTTTTTTTTTTTTTTGCTTTGCAAGGCAAAAAAAGAGCAAAAAGAAATGGAATAACATCAAATTTCATTTCATCCATTTGACAGTCTTGTTGAAAATCAATAAAAGGCAATTTAGGGTCATTGTTGAGGGAATTGAAAGTTTGGAAGGAAAATAGATAGAGAAGTATGAAATAAGAAGGAAAAAAAAATAGATAGAAGGAAATTTAAGAAACGAAGAGCTATGAAAATTTGATTATTCGTTTTGAGAAGAGATGACTGATGAAAGTGAGGAAATGCATTTATCCGGATGAGATTATTTGATATTTAATGTAAGATTTACATATATCAAATAAATATCTCATCATTGGTAAATCATAAGATTTGTTGTGAGAAATTTTACAAAAGATTTGTGCGATAATGTTTTTTTTTTTTTTTTTAAAATTCCCGGACAAATGATAGCAATTAGAAAATGGATTTAAAAAAAAAAAAAAAAAGGAAAAATCATCAAAATAAATAAAACAAAGAAACGAGACCTTGAATGTGATGATGAAGTCTCCGGTTGACTTTCCTGTTCACTACTTTTACAAGCTGTCAATGAAACAATTTCTTGCTTCGCATTCCTTCTCATTTCATTTAACATTGCTAATCGTTTATTTTTCTAAATTATCACATCATAATGCAAATCAATCTTCCAATGGAGATATTTCGATTCAAACAGAAAAAAAAAATGAAAATGAAAAATAGAAGAAAACAAAAAGCAACTAAAACAATATACACTTAAATCAAAAAAAAGTGATAAAAATTAAAATGAAATTTTTGTTAAGAATAGCAAATTTTACCTGCTCACTTTTAATAGCTAATAATTTAGCTGCTCGATATATGCCCCAATATAAATATAGCATAACAAATAAAGTTGACCAATAATATGAAATATACATTCCCATGTTTAAAATTGGATTTGTCATAAATTGCACATAGCATTCATTTTCTTTTAATATTCGTTTACCCGTAAATTTATCATAACCAAATATTGATAAGCCAAATAATATGGTTGGAATCTAAAATGTCATAAAATGCAATATAATTATCAATTATAAAGCGATAACAGTAGCTATGATCATTTAATTGATCACATGCAACAAGCAAAACTGATTGAAAGTAAAAAAAAAAAAAAGAAAAGAAAAAATTCATTGAAAATATTCTTAGGAATGATTATTATTGGAAAAAGAAAACAACAAAAAAACTTTTAAAAATTTACTTAAAAAATTTTCCAACGAATAAGTAAAAGCTTTTCTTTGCATAAAAATGATAACTGAATATTTTGATTATCAACATTCTATGGACAAATCAATATATTATCAACTGTTATTGTATATTTCATCAATGATAATTTTAGCTCCAATATTAATTACTGTTATTTAATAATTTTTTTTTTTTTTTAATAAGACATGATTGTAAAATTTTATTACAAACTATAAATTCAACAATATTTTTCACTCAATAAACAAAATTACCAGCCATATAATTGCTACAGTTAAAATAAAACGTCGTGGTGTCCTCCAGTTTCGATAAGATGCAGGATATTTTACTGAGCAATACCTGAAACACACGACCAATTAAATAGCCTAGCAATAATTTACATTGAAATTTTTCATTGCTTATTTGCTAAATTGCTATTATTATAAAATCTAACTAGCATTTGCATATAAATTTTCTAACACTTAAATAAAATTTTCAGGTATAAATTTTTTTTTTCTTTTCTTTTCCTATCAACAAGAACAGTGATATTTAT